CCATTCATATCCACACGGACTGGATAAAACATGATATCTTAGAATGAATGGTTAAAAAAAAGTACATTGGGCGGATTGACGTCGAAACGCAGGAATTTGCCAAACGGTGAATTTGAATCCACTGCGTATGGGGCTTTAGGGCCGGCCCATGTACGTCTTCGATTTCGTCGATCGCGAACAGTCTGAAATCAGCCAAACTCAAATAATAAAAAGCGGACACCAGGACTACCAGAAATTTCTAGAAACTAGTAAAAAGCTTTGAAAAGCACCTGAATCGGTTGAGCAAGTATTTGACTGGTGAGAATACATTGCCGCAATCGCTCCACTTCTTTACTCAATTCAATATTTTTGTTGATCAGATCGCGCTCCACTGTGTCGTTCTTTCGATTTTCCTGAAAAAAATCACGTTTGAGGAAACGTTAGCAACGAAAGAGTAGGTTTTGGTCACCGGAAAAAAAGGCGTATTTTTGTGGCCTAACTTCAAATTGCTTTCAATTTCCCTTTAAATATCGGTCAGCGTTCATGCCATTCTGCCCAAAAAGCAAAATTCTTTTTGTGGCAATAGATAGATTACGTCTTTTTACTTCATCTAGCAAAAAGGTGTAATTTAGCCTCATAAAAGCAAAAAGCAAAAACCTCCAACTGCGCTTTGAGGCGTTCAATAGTTTCGATGTAGCGCGGCAGCATTCCTTCGGTCATTCGATTCTTGCGCGGCTTGTTCTTGATCTCCTTCGCTCGGGCCGCAAACTGAAACACAGTGATTTTTCAAAAATTTTCGAAGATGTAAAAAATAGTTGTGCGAAGAAAACAACTAACCCTCAAAGTCTGTAATGTCTGTGTCAGTTCAGTGGAGGCGACGTTGCAGATTATCAGCGTACGCGCGTTACCACCCAGCGAACTTTTCAGCAATCGCGTAAGCTTCGAGTCGCGGTAATTTACGAAGCCGGGGCTGAAAAGAATTTTTCCTTACGTTTAACATTCAGTTTTTTTTTATTTTTTTTTTAAATTTTTTCTTATTTAGTTTTAAGAATTATTTAGTTTAATTTTTAAAAATTAGTTTAATAAAATTAGTAAAAAAAATTATTTAGTTTAATTTCTTTTAAAAAGAATAAAATAAAAAAACTTATTCAGTTTAATATTTAGGCTTCTGTGGGCTATGAAGGTAATCTCTATTAAGCACCCCTTCCCAAAACAATGGAAAAAGAAAGCAGGGACCGACTGACGGAACCATGAAAAAAGTCATGAAAAAAAAGAAAACGTCAAAAAATCAAAAAAAAAACCATAAAAAAAGAAAAAAATTTCTCGGTGCAAAATCACTTCTGCATAATCGGGCGAAACTTACTTCTTCTTCTCACTGAGCTGATTGATTACTCTTTGCAGCGCCAGGAGACTGGTGTTGATTTTGCAGCCTTCTTTCAGGCGCTCCCCTTCGACACCCGATCGCTTCACATTTTCACTACCAGCCAGATCGACCACATTCTAAAAAATCACAAAAACCGAATGCAACTGAAAAAAAGCGTCTTTTTTCGAGTTTAAAATTCACTTTTAGTCTAAAAAACTTCCATCTTAAATCTGTTTTCTTTTCTGCTCGGCCTGAATTTCGCAAAAAACAAGCACTGCCATTTAATCTAGCTATAATTCCCAGTCCGGTCAGGATCTCGCACGAACGTAGAGGATCAAAAAAATGGTCACTTACGAGGAAGGAGACATATAACGAGGCATCTGAGCTGATATCGTCATCGTAACACTCGATCACAAAACGGAGAATAACGTGCGACCGCGATGAAAGCTCGTTCAACGCCGTGGCTCCAGATACGCGATTTTCTGAAAATCAGTAAATTATGCTTCTTAAACGCATCGGAGCTTAAAAATTGTTGGCAATTTTGGGCATTAATTAGACTTCAGGAAAGGCCCAGGGGCTGTCGGATAACTGATTCACGTGTCGCCAATGTTTTATTGAGACTGCCTTTGCGAACAATTCATGAATTTTATGAATCACTCGTAGCAGCTATTTGAGCGGAAACTCTATTTTCATTCCTAATATAGCCTCGTCTTCCAAAACGAGACCTTTATTTTTTTTTGAATTTTTCTTGGAATTTTTTAAATTTTTTGGGACTTTGTACTTGAATTTTCCGTTTTTTTTTTTTGGAAAATGGGATATTTCTTCAGAATTTTCGGGTACTGGCCCCGCATCTACACTCCTCCTCTCCGTCCTTCCTCGCCTTTTCTCCTCCTTTCCAAACATTGTTATGGCTGTGACCAAAACCTTAAAAAAAAAAGTACCAAAAGCTCTTCGGATGATCATTTCGACACCTTCCGTGCTAACAAACATTTCTTCTCGAAGGCCCTTCACCGTTGTTTGCTGGTTAAATTCGTTCACGTGCAAGCTCTTGCCGGGATCCGCCAACAAATCGCGCACCTTTTCGTTGTAAATTTCGATGCACGATATACGCAGCATATATCGTTTTGCACTGCTCTAAATTTCAATTTTTTTTTTTTTTTTTTATAATCTATCACAAGTTCTGAGCGCCTTCGCTTCTCAGAAGGGGTTTTAAAATGTTTGGAAGAGAGGAGAAGCAAATCTTTTTTTTTTTTACTGCAAATTTCGCCCCCCCCCCCCTCCTCCACTGCGGACCTTTTCGCTACTGGGGCACTTTACAGCAAAACATCGAAATAACAGTGATTACTCACTATAGCTCTTGCACCGTAATAACAATGATTGCTGTTCTAG